ACTTTTGAACTACTAATTTCCTGTAACGAATTAATTGCCAACGTGCGTCTTCTAATCCTGGACGACATACAGATTTAATGACGATCTTCGTGACAAAACAGCTCGACTGATTTCTCCGGAAACTCGTGCGTCATGATACAGTGGTGAAGGGCCCTTCCAGTGTTTTTAATTTATGTCAAACTACACCCAGATCATTTCCCTCAAGAAATAATACACACAAACTTTGTTTTCTGTATCTTTCCTTTAACGAATTAAAGTTCAACACGTTTATACTAAAGCAAAATCAAATTCTCATCTACATTTCTGGCATGAGGAGTTTTCATTATTTACACTGTTTATATTCAGAATATTATCCTCATTTTTGTTGTTTTTATCACAACGTTTTCAGCCAGTGGGGTCTTCGTATTGTGTATATCGATTTTGGTTACTCTACAGGGAATTCCGAACTGAACACTTTATTTAATCTACTGAGATAGACTGTTCTGAATCCACTGCTGATGACGAGGAGCATCGTCAAATCGCGTTATGTAGTACTGTTCAGTTTTGCCTGTTTTTACTGAGTATAAGAACACACTAACCCGCCCCAAGGATTGAACTCACAACCAATATGTCACCAAATAGACCCACATCATTTCTCTCAAGAAATAATATGAATTGAAGTCCATCACGTATATATATATATATATATATATATATATATATATATATATATATATATATATATATATATATATATATATATATATATATATATATATATATATATATATATATATATATATATATATATATATATATATATAAGTTACTTACCATCGCCTGAAGAAGTACAGTCAAAGTATTGAAACATGGAAACTTCTATGTAGTAATTTGAAAATGTTTTTATTATAGTCTGTGATATATATATATATATATATATATATATATATATATATATATGTGTGTATATATATATATATATATATAGGTGTGTGTGTGTATATATATATATATCTATATTATATATATATATGTGTATATATATGTATATATGAATATGTATGTTTATATAAATAATTATATATCTGTATAAATGTGTTTGTATATTTATATATGTGTGTGTGTATTTTATATATATATATATATATATATGTGTGTGTGTGTGTATATTTTTTTATATATATATGTATTTATATATATATATATGTCTGTATATTTATATATATATACATTTGTGTATATATTTATATATATATGGGTGTGTATATATAAGTGTGTATGTATATATGTATATATATTTATATCCCCCCCATATATATATATATGTGTGTGTGCGTGTGTGTGTGTGTGTGTGTGTGTGTGTGTGTGTGTGTGTGTGTGTGTGTGAAATATATAGAAATAGGAAGGAACTGGTTAGGTAAATAATCAAAAGTTCCTTAGTATTAGTTATTATTTTTTAAAAAATAGTGCTCGATACTGTGTGCAGAGCATAAATATATTATTTATTTAAAAATAAATTCCAACTCGCGACATACGAGGTCTAAATGTTTCAAAAATAAGAGCCTAAAACTTCAATATAATTATTTGAATTAAATTGAGTTAAAAGTAACTCAATTTAATTAAAATAATTATATTGCCGGGCTTGTTTTTAACTCTATGCCGCGAGGCATTTTAAAAAAACAATTATAATATATATATATATATATATATATATATATATATATATATATATATATACGTAAAATGTCCACGTCCACCGTTGTGTCGTGTCCGGTATAGAAATATCGACTTGAATGACTATACCTTCCCGGATGTTCCAAACACTTTCCTTGCTACTGTAGTCAGCGTTAATCGATGACTCCGTTTATGAATGTTTTTGCGTATGTGTGCGTATAAGAATGCAATAACGTCAAAACAGTATCGCTTTTTTTTGCCATTCTTTCTAGAAGACGAATTTAATATTGATCGAGTTCAACGCAAATTGTCTTATTCTTCCACTTTCATTTTGGCAACTCCAAATTTCCGGTTCTGTCTTCGAGATGGCCATTGTTAAATTCAATGATCGCCTTTCGAGTATTACTTTGACCTTCTGTCCTCAAGACGTTGATCTGATTTGGGAACTGTTGGTGTCGGAAATAATTTTACCGTTTCCTGATTATTCGATCAAGTTGCTTGGTAAGAGTAACTACAACAACAACAAAAACATGATCATCGTCATTATTATTATTATTATTATTACTGAAAGTTACAAATACGAACAATAATAACAATAATAATAATATAAAAAAAAACATTATTTTTTGTCTGAATTTCTTGGATGAGGAATTATTCCTACCGGCCTATGGGACAAAAACAGAGTTAATAAGATCATTGATTTGTGAATATGGTAATATAGCGACTGTGAGTTCAAACCCTTAGTCGGGCAGTGAAAACGTGACAGCAACAGCTGAATGATGCTAAATAAAATATTTTTTTTCTTTCGCAATAATTTGTAATGTTTCGTGAATTTACTGTTTGATGATGATGTTTCTATTACTTAATACAGTCATTTGTTTGTGATTGTCTAGCGCCAGTGTATGAGTTTCAAAGAATCATCGGCCCTTGATAAAACCTCCAAGCATGAAGCCACCATTAATCATTGATTTGTGAATGTGGTTGTTCTATTGTGAGTGATTATTGAACATGTTCGGCATCATGCATGATATCCATGTCCCTATATCTGACGAGACTTTTTAAGAACATGATTCTAATTTTAATTTAATGTGTTGATCCCTTTTGCATTTGCGGTCTTAATCATCTCTGTGGTATACGGTATGTGGATTCTTATCCCTACTATCATTTGGTGTAAAACTACATTTCCCTTTTAATCATACTTATCATAAAACCCAGGTTGTGTGTGTGTGTGTGTGTGTGTGTGTGTGTGTGTGTGTCTGTACGTTTATATATTGGATCGGATTTCCTGCATTTTTCAAACCGATTTCAACAAAACTTCACAGGACTACGTAAATATTACCTTGCGGTGGTTCTGACAGAATGCTTTAAAAATTGGAAAACACAATTGTTTTTGCACGAAATCAATTTGAAACACGATTAAGAGGCATCGCGAGAATGAAAAGGGGACAACTCATATCGGAATTAAACTTATTATAAAACCCAGGTTGTGTGTGTGTGTGTGTGTGTGTGTGTGTGTGTGTGTGTGTGTGTGTGTGTGTGTGTTTTATATATGTGATTCGATTTTTACATTTTTCCAGCGATTTCAACAAAACTTCACTTTTGGGGGGCAGTAGTGTTTCTTATTGTCTTGCAATTTTTTCTTTATTTTTACATTCAGAATGTTTTAAAAATTCCATTTACAAGACAATTGTTTATAATAAAATTCTATTCAATCGGTAGACTCATAACGATTGAAAATAAATGTTTTTGTATGAGTTTGTATTTGACCAGTTCGTAAAAAAATAAAAATAAAAATAATTAAGACATGTGTGTTCGTCAACCTTAAATAATAATCTTTTTCAATTTTATTTTTCAGTCTTTATGATGGTCGATACTTGATCTATCTCTTACTATGTAAGATGTAACGGGGATGTAACAGTTATTGATATCAAGAAAGTTATTAATATCAAGAAAGAAAATATGTGTGTAATTCACGTACAGTTCTTCTCGGAGACGTAGTGAAATGAGACCAAGGGTCGGTTATCTGTCTATTACGAGACAGAATTTCCTTGGTAAAAAAAGAAAAGAGTATTGTTTTTCTTGGTTTATCAACTCCTCATGTGTCATGTAATGTTTAAATTACGAGCGAAGAGAAGGGACTAAGCATAAACTACAAGAAAACAGAATGCATGGTCACCAGTCAAAGTATGAGCCCGAAATTAGATTTACAGGTCGAGAAACTAAACCCAAGCATTTACCGGAATTTAAATATTTGGGAAGTGTTTTGACAGAGGACGTCAAGTGCGACGCTGAGATACGAAGACGTACTGGGATGGCCAAAGATGCATTCCAAAAGCTAGGCAAAGTATTACGAAACAGGAGGATTTCCTTGGTAAAAAAAGAAAAAAGTACTGGATTTGTTGGTCTATCAACTCCTAATGAATCATTTAAAATTTAAATTAAGAGCGAGAAGAAGGGACTAAGCGTAAACTACAAAAAGACAGAATGCGTGGTCATAGTCGCCATTTGTAATTCCGTAATTGCGCATGTGCGAGACAAAGACTCAAAAAGAAAAAAAAAACTGTTGGTGATTTGCATGCGCAAACATATAGCTGTTATAAACAAAGAGAACTTTTTTTTTTTCGGGACGCAGTTTTTGAATCAGACAGTTTGAACGGCGCAGGAGATTGATAGCAGAAGGAAGCCTGCTGGGATTTCTTGACATTAGACATACGATTCTTGATTGCACCATTTCATTCTGCATCCTCCCCTTTTGATTTTAAAGTGTTTTTGATTATCAAACAGTTTGCCTTGCTTTGAACTTTGAAATGCTGCTTCAAATCCACGACAAGAGTGTAAATATTTTTCACCAAGAAGACCAGCTCACGAACAGTATGAAGTCATTAAATTAGCTCCACCCGGTCTTGTGTCTAGTATAGACATGTACTTTAGCATTGGTATTCAAACGCATTGAAACGATCTATGTCAATGGATAAAAACGGTGCTTAGATCCAGTGACTAGATACAAGGAGTTGTAAGTTCAATACCAGGCCACAGTAGTGGTGAACAAAAATGGCCTTACCGGCAAGATCCAAATGAATCCAAAGCCTTACATTTGGGGACGGCTTGGCTATGGAAGTGTCTTGAAATTTGTCACTGTTGACAGCCAACTGCTTTGGGGCTCCATTCCGCGTTTTCTTTCTGGGATTACTTCCATAGCATTTTCGATGTTTGATATGACAGCAACACAGCGGGGGTTTAAAATCAGGGTTTACAAAATACCTTTTGTCTTCAATCATATTTGCCGTAAAAAACACAAACACACAATAATACCTGTATATAGTTAATGGCTGTCTATATCTCTGGAATTACATAGATAGATATGAATATATTAAGATAGATAGATAGATAGATAGATAGATTATATTGATATAGATAGATATGAATATACTGATATAGATAGATAGATATGAATTATTGATAGATATAGATAGATATGAATATATATATATATATATATATATATACATAGATAGATAGATAGATAGATAGATAGATAGATAGATAGATAGATTGACATGAATATATTGATATAGATAGATATGAATATATTGATGTAGATAGATATATAGATAGATATGAATATGAGATAGATATAGATAGAAGAATATATATGAATATATTGAGATAGATAGATAGATAGATAGATAGATAGATAGATATGAATATATTTTAGATATAGATAGATATGAATATATATATATATATATATATATATATATATATATATATATATATAGATAGTGTTGTGTATGATACACCTAATTTACATAAGCGGACTATCGACCATATAAATATGGGTTGGTACCGGAAGACGGGGAAGATAGTAGAGATTAAGAAATTGAATCAGAGACTCTGCCCGACTGCGATTCAGTCAACCCATTATGCAGGAACAGTCTTCCCAAGAATATACCAAACTAACTGTAAATATTGTGTACCTATTCTTTGTTTCAATACATTTTGTTAACGTACATTTTGTGTTGTATTATTCCATGCTTATTTAAGCTTCAACAGATAGATAGATAGATAGATAGATTGACATGAATATATTGATATAGATAGATAGATATGAATATATTGATAGAGATAGATATATAGATAGATATGAATATGAGATAGATATAGATAGATAGATATATATGAATATATTGAGAGATAGATAGATAGATAGATAGATAGATAGATAGATAGATAGATATGAATATATTGATAGAGATAGATAGATGTGAATATATTGATAGAGATAGATAAATAGATAGATAATGAATATATTGATAGAGATAGATAGATAGATAGATAGATAGATAGATAGATATGAATATATTGAGATAGATAGATAGATAGATAGATAGATAGATAGATAGATAGATAGATAGATAGATAAATTGATAAATAATGAAGAGACTGAGATAGATCCAATCATCTAAATCAAGGCTACAGAGATTCTGTCTAGATCTCTATTATGATTAGTCGCATTATTGACATTATTCAGACTGTTATCCGCATCTCCATTACCATATTCACAACATTTTGGTCGTTGTAAGCTCCGGCCTTCTTCAAGATACATGTCTCAGTGGATAAAGACGTTGATTAGATCCAGTAATTCGACCCACATATATGTGAGTTCAATACCAGTCCACAACAGCGGTGAACCAAAACGTGTAGAGTTGAGTTAAAGGGAAATAACTGAGACACCCGGAAGAGGCATGGCACGTGGATCTAGAACAATCTACCCCGGCGGACAAAATAAAAGTTTCGGTTCGAAGTTTCAATCACCTGAAGAAGGCCGGGGCGTACAACGGCCGAAACGTTGTGAATATGACAATGAAGATGAGGATAATAATGTAAATAATAAAAATATACATATTAACTTGACACGAGAAAATAAGAAAAAAATATACACCTTCACAAATTCTCTACCGGTTTCTTTTTGGTTGTTACTTTGCAATTTCTTAGAACTTTTTAGTCGCCTTAAAAAAACAAAACAAAAAAAAAAACCTCATGGTTCCACTGAAAATATCTCCATGATATTCTTAGCAATGGTCGGCAGTACCACATGACGGGCTGTTTAAAGATCTTTTCTCTATTAATATGTGATGAAGAACCGTATGCTCTCCTGAGAAAATGGATAAAAATGTGTGATTGCACATAGAGATGAAAAAGAAAAGTTGATGTCAGCTGCCGTTCTAAAAACAACGAAGAAAAATATTGAATCAGAAATGTGAGGTAAAAAAATAACAACAGTAATTCTGTTTTCTCAGCGCCTTCAGAGAATTACCAAAACCTTAATGAAGGTTATTGCCACCAGCTTTTAAGATAATAACTTAATGAGATTATTATCCAAGAACACCAGGTATTGCACGGCAGTTATTTATTCGTTGCTCTGAGTATAAGAATGACACTATAACATCACAGAGAGTGTAAGTAAATAACAAAAAAAACATCAAATGCACCCGTGCTATAGCATCAGAAAAAAAAATTAGTAGATCTGCAACGTAATTTGCCCTGATCTGGCATCTCGTCTGCAGCCGCTCTCTCACAGACGTGCCGTCGCCTCCCTCTGTTTTTTTTACAAACACTTTTATGGTAACTGCTTCGATGAGCTGCTTTCGCTGGTTCCCAGACTTCATGAGTTCAAGCGCCCTACGAGGCTGGCATCTCGCTCACACACTTTCGCTGTCGAAACTGTTAAATGTAGCCGTCTCTTCTACTCCAATAGCTTCATGTCTCGCACCTCTCGCCTGTGGAATTTCCCTCCCCTCTTCCTGCTAGCTATAATCTCCAACTATTCAAATGTAATGCCAATCAATGTCTCCAGATGACCTGATCTATCCCCTATCCTTCTCTTCATCCTTTCCTCTATCACTCCTATTTACTCTAGCTCCAACTCTCTGTAACCCCTTGCGTGTTAGTGGCTTCCCGCCTTACTTGGAGTGAAACGCTTGAAAAAAAATGAAAAAAAAGATCTAACTAAAAGAGCAAATAATGATATAATTAAGAAGTCTGAATAATTATAAATGGCAACTATTTTTCACATGGGGTGGAGTCATATTTTCGTTGGTTTATCAACACCTCATGTGTCTAAATTAAGATCGAGAAGAAATGCGCTTTTCAGGTCGGGTAAACAAAAATCAAGCAGATACGGAAATCAAATATCTGGGAAGTGATTTGACAGAGGACGTCAAGTGCAACGCTCTGATTCGAAGATGTACTGGGAAGGCGAAAGACGCATTCTGAGAGAATTGGAAAATCCTACCAACTTCAGATACGCAGATGACACAGTACTGATAGCAGACAAAGAAAAGAAATTACAAAATTTCCTACAGAAGGTAGCGAGTGAGAAGAAAGGACTAAGCATAAAGTACAAGAAGACAGAATGCGTGGCCATCAGTAAAGATCCCGAAATATGGTTTGAAGGTCGGGAACACTAGAAATCAATCAGACACGAAAGGTTAAATATCTGGGAAGCGTCTTGCCAGAGGACGGTAATGGTGATCCGAAAGACGCATTCCAAAAGCTAGGTAAAATATTACAAGACAGGAGGATTCCTTGGTAAAAAAAGAAAAGAGTATTGGTTTTGTTGGTTTAACTAAAAGAGCAAATATTAATATAATTAAGAAGTTTGGATAATCTCTATCTATAAAAGGCAGGATGTGTGTGTGTGTGTGTATGTGTGTGACGAATGCACGAGCACAATTTTCGACGGATTTGCACCAAAATTTACATGCACATGTTCCAAGTTAGCGGGAAGGCCAAGACCGACTTTGCATTTCCCAACTCACATCGATAGTGGAAATAATCTTTTTTTTTCATGCTTCTACGGCAGTTTTCATGTAGTTTGTGGCCATTTTCTACTGGCCAAAGTGACAGCCTATAGCTGGCTGCCACGAATAGGCAGGAAGATTCTATTGGCCAGCGTAAGAGCCAACAGCTGACTGACACGAATGTTAACTAGCATGCTAGCATGCAAAAAATATCGATAGCTGCATTCGTCACAAGTGGGAAAAATTTAAATCTGCATGGCACTTTACTCCAATTGGCTCATTCGCTTGCTTAAACTTAACGTTGATTCTGGTTCCACAGAACTGGGTTGGGTGTGAAAAATTATTTGTTGTTAACATTCTTTTTTCATTCGGTTTTTCCAGTTACGAGTCCTTTTTTTTAAGCTGGTCGTTTTGTGTTCATTTTGTGTAGTTCTTTTTTCGTAACAGATTTAATGTTTAGTATAGAGCTTAGAAAAAATCGCAGCGTGAGATAGGCAAGAAGTAAGGCATGTAGCAACATCAGGAGGGCAAAGAGCACTCCTTTAAAGCCAAGGAAGAGCAAAAAATTCTTTAAGTCAAGTGATAGCGATTGCTGTATGAGTCGTACGATTTTTAAATCAAGCACGGGCAACGCCGGGCCATGCTGCTAGTTAATTATAAATGGCAAGTATTTTTCACATGGGGGGGGTCATTTTTTCGTTGGTTTATCAACTCCTCATGTGTCATTTAATGTCAAAATTTAATTTTATTGAGAGCATTAGTCGTCTCTTTTACAAAAATGCATTGCTGGTCTTTAAAAAAAGGTATTTCTAGTAATGGCTTTACTATAGAAATATATATTTTTAATCATTTCACTTCAAGCAAGGTAGAAGTACGCAGCGGGTGAGTTGCAGGATGTTGGTAAGATTGAACAAAGGACAAAAGATGAACGTGATTCAAGACGATAGAATATGGCGATTGACGTTGAATTTAAATTTTTGACGAGTGTATCTATCATGGAAGCAAATGACAGATAACATTATCAAAGCAAAAACGCCGATGAAACAAAAACAAACTGGCGATGTGTAGAGCAATCTTCCAACACTGTTAATCTGTCATTGCATTTTAAACAAAAGTAAACGTTTTTTTATTCCTTTTATTCCTTTTTAAAAAAAATATGATTACCACCTATGTTCTTTTTCAACATTTATGGCAATTGACCTTAAAAGCGCCAAAACATTATCAGAGTTACGCAGTTATACTGGGATGAATTTGCCCAGTGAAGCAAATGTCCAGCGAGTCAATTGTCTGGTATGCAATTGTCCGGGGCGCAAATGTCTCAAAGACCACAAAATTACAGCTTTTGTCCATTTTCAAGAGAGATCTTTATTTGTTATATTCAAAGAATTCTTTGAACAGTCAGATATCAGTTTACCTGGAATTAAACAAATCAGGTATTAATAAGAAGAGTCGTAATATATACATGCAAGATTTCACAGGCCTAGCATCACTAATTCATACTCAGACGATTAAAATTTCACCCCACCCTCGTGTATATATATATA